GTACCCCTCCCTCCCTCCCTCCCTCCCTCCCTCCCTCCCTCCCTCCCTCCCTCCCTCCCTCCCTCCCTCCCTCCCTCCCTTCCTCCCTCCCTCCCTCCCTCCCTCCCTCCCTCCCTCCCTCCCTCCCTCCCTCCCTCCCTCCCTCCCTCCCTCCCTCCCTCCCTCCCTCCCTCCCTCCCTCCCTCCCTCCTTAGTCAAGAAGTAAGTCAGTAATCCCGAGCAAAAAATCCTGATTTGATAAAGCTCGGGTTATTTGATACCAGGTTTTGGTGTTATTAGTCTAGTGATTATTTGAGTATCTTATTTTGAATTTCGGTTCTGTGATTAGGCTTTTATTTTCACATCGATATTCACTTCATCTATATGCATCATTTCATTTCATTATGTTAGATCAAGTGAGAATAGTCAGCAGTTGCCAAGTTGCACTTTTGAAATTCATTTCGCTTCTCATCATAGCAACCAGGTCGTTTTTGCCCTTGTTTTTTAACCGTAAATGAGCGAGGAGTTAAAGGCCTCTATGTGCCGTAATGACTGGTATTTAGCCACAATATCTGTGTTATTTAACTGGATATGGGTGCGAATGCTCGATGTCACCCTAATCCTTTAGGAAGGGTGCCAAGTACTGAAAGATACCCTGCAGAATGGATATTATATATAGATATATTTTTCATTAGCTGTATGAAATTGGCCTACTCTCACTGGCAGTAATAACAGTATCGTATTTATATCCTGTACTGATAAGGATGAGTAATATCTTTGTTTGGAGCTGAAATAATGATATTTCATGTTTATTCTAATGATTTGATTAAAATGAATGTCAATCATTTACTCATAACCGTGCTAGATATTATCAGTCGTTATATAGCCGAATGAGTTCCATGGAACGTCCATCTACTACCAGGCACTACAATCTAAAAATAGGAGCTTATCGATTATCGTGAATTGGAGTTTTCGGCACTGGAATCTAAAAATAGGAGCTTATCGATTATCAAGAATTGACTTTTTGAAGTTTTCCCATGTGAAAGTTTAACTTTAGTTACGAATCGAGTTTGGTTCCTGTTTTTCCTGGAACTTAAACTGCAACTTCATACCAGGGTTCACTAGTGAGCTGTGACTTGTGACCTGGTAACTGTTGTTCCTACAGGAAGTCAGGTGAACGGATAAACTGGCAGGCTTCCAGCTACTTGAATAATGAATTCGACGATAAGTAACTAATAATTTGATCACCATTTCGCCAGTACTTACACTTACAGTAGTATAACAATCTAGATCTTCTATCAACTTCTCTTGTCTCAACTTTCACCTTAAGTAACTTACTTTTTAGGCATTAACTATTTATTAATTGTCTATTATGTAATGTTCTTGAATGAAGCTTCTAGAACGCTAGTAGTGCTGAAGATTGTTTAATTCACGCGAAGCTGATAAAGTAATTTTCGCCCCGAGCAGCCATATTCCCTGTTAATGCCAGGGCTATTCGTAGCCCAGAAATGGCGAACTGTGCATTTAATTTTGTTATTTGGCATAATCATCCCTTCTCCGTAATAGTACCCAATGGAGGGGCAGTGCCCATGTCACCTGATTGTGATCAGCCAATCACCGACCTGTTTTCAAACCACGTGACACAAATCGACCAATTAGAACCCCCTGCAATCGTCTTGAATTAGTGACCATTATTAGGGTTGTCTTCGGTCCATATGTGCATGTACTTTAATGGATGATTTGGTTTTTATATGCGTTTATAACATCTGCCGTTAGTAATTATACATGAGAGTGTCTCGGTCATTTATAGCCTCGTCTTTCTCGTGTGAACTAGCAGCTTAGTTTACCAATGCGTAATGTGGCGTACTGTCAGTATATATTAATAATATGCCGACGGGAGTGCAGAGTACTGGCAATATGCCAACAAGGGAGCAGCGGAGTGTGACGTACTGACAAAGTGACAAAGTGACAAAGTGACAACGGTTATTACTTGTTCGGAATTGTACTTGTTTTTTCCACAATGGTCGTTCTGAGATGAGATCACTCAGTCGACCAACATGGCTTCCTTTTAGCCTTTTAACGCTGCACTTCCTGTAACATATAATATGTTACTTTCTGCGGGTGTTAGTTAAGTGTTTTTTATAACACTTGTATTGATCCATTGAGATCTATTAATGTGCTATTCTCACGAGGTTAGGTCCATTTTAAAAGAGTCTCCTTTCTGGCACAACCTCTTTGCGACTTTTGCCTTTTGGTTGTGATTTTAACCTTTTATCAAAACAATACTGTAACGACCCAGCTTCTTTGATCGATAAAATGCGTATAACACTGGAATATTGAGTTGTAGTCCTGCATACCGACCAGGGTGTAACATTGTTATCGGACAATGTTTGGTCACTCTATTATCCCTTTTTGCATATTTCTATGGGCAGATTATTTGGTCATTGGTGAAATAAAGTCCATTCTACGGGCGTCTTACATCTTTCCTTCTGTTTCAAAAAATAAACAAGTGGTAACATTCATTAGTCATTCTTGTAACTTTAAGTATAATTACCTTCGTTATTTGAGTTTAATTTGAGGCAGCTTGCTGCTTAGCATTAGCAACTTGTTAGCATTGTCTTGCATCATCAAATCGTTGGTCCATTCACACAATCTACTGAGAAATAGTCAGCCGTTTGGATTGGCATTCTGATTTCTACCTCAATGTCGGGTTTTTATTTCGTAACGTCGCAACATGAGCACAGTTTACAGCCTTATCCTCATCCAATGACATTTCTTCTCGGTCCACAGCTAGATTCTAAACAAATAACCAACCCTGACTTGGCACGGTGACCTGTCTTCATTGAGATCTCCAGAGAGTTATTAATCATTAGATGAAGAATATGTTGACTACTTGAGATATATTTATTATATACTACATTGTAATGCACGCTGAGTTGGCATGGCTCCAATAAGGGTACTCTAAATGTCACAGTTTTTCTGAGGTTGGCTCTGCTAGGAGTTGTTGTAATAGATCCATTAGTCTTCGTCTACTTTCTAGATCTTTGTTCTAGATCTCAGTTCTCTGTATCTTATCCCATTGCATTGTTTAGCTGATGTTTAGTTACAGTTTTTTAATATCGTTATTGAATATTGACATTTAACATAGCATGGATCTTGATATCATCCAGGAACCAGGTGCATGATATAGGGGTCATGCCACCCAATCTGCTTATTACATTTATTATTCCATTTTGCAAGCCATGTTGATAGATTAAATCTTGAAGGTTTTCAGGACTAGCCAAGGTCGGTACCACTACCTACTGGAAAATGAGACTGTTGAAAGGGCAGCTCGAAATTAAGCGCCAGCCATTATTGACCAGTGGTAGTAAGGGGTGTTGTAGGGCCGTTGTAGGGCCGTTGTATAAAATTACAGCCTATTTGACTAATTCCTCTTCTTCTATTCATATTCATCAGACTGCTGTATCAAAGGTTATTGTAATCCACTATTTAGGTAACTGACAACACTAATCACCCCACCACAATGCCACTCAATCTCATGTTTCCATCGTTACGTCACTGTCTTTTTAAAGAGAAGACAGTCATTTCTTTTGGAAAATCAGCAAATGACCTGGCCTGTCCGTAATCATTTTCAGTTTTAATTGGAAGGAAATTAAGTCAGACAGAAATTTGAGTGAAGCCGTTAATTGCTATTTATCTCTTGGATGGTTATCTGTTATTGCAACTTGGCATTTCGCGCTATTTTCCTGATTTTCTGTCACTCCAGTGCAGTTTGATTGATTTTGTTTAGGATGCGATGTATCATGCATCTGTCGGCTTAGTTGTGTGTTACTATGGTTATAGTTGTAGCCTGCTTGTGTAAACTTGATACATCACTGCCTCGGACTGCTAAATGCTTAATTATAAGCTCATTTTAAAGTCTCAAGTTCCGATTTTGCAGTCAGCACTGATCGTTAATGTTGTAAAGACTTGTTTGAGGAGAAAATAACGAGTTTTATTTTCCTGAAATTAGAACAAAACTGAAATATATTTTCAATATAACAGGGTTTTAAACCCGCTGTAATTCTTTAACGTCAAATTTTTTTCCTGCCAAATTAAATATAATTCCAGCCCCCCGGCCCCCCCCCCCCCCCCCCAGTCGGGAGCCTCAATATCCCAGCCCGCAAGTCTGGTACACCCGCTCACACACTAATTTGTTTGTTACTGGCAGGTGGGTCACCTGAAATTAATTAGGTGGTATTTGTTGATAATGACCTAAACTAGCACAAAGTAAGTAACATAACCTTCCTCTGCTACCTTTTGATAAACTAGAGCCTCGGTATTATAGTGTCTCGGTAATGTGGCTACAAACTCCGCCAGCTCCAATACTGCTACATATCCATCCTATCGATTTCAAGACGAACTTCCTCTTATTTTGGGTCACGTGTTGTACCATTTGACGGTAACTTGCCATGTCACCGTCATTTTCTGTAGCATTCTTGCCCAGTCGAAAAGTCATTCACCAATCCAGAGTGCCCATCAATTGTTTGGTCTAATTAACAGTAACACGAACTCCTGTCCAATCGTGGCTGGTACATGCTGACACGTGACTGGTATTAGCCAGTAACAGCTTACCATTCTCTGCAGTAATCAACCGGAATCAACCAGCACTTCTGTACGCAATTTTCGACATCGCAGCATAACTGCAGGCTAAGTGTAGCCCTTTCCGCGTCTTTTCTATTTTTGGTAATTGTGAAATTACAATTGGTTTAATACGCTAAGCTGTGGGAGATAACGAGTCTGATTTTACTTGTCGGTAAATATAGGACAGGAGAGTCGTCTTGACAAGTGTCTCTTTCCTTTGCCTTTTCTATTTCAGTAATCGTGGTAGTTAGCGTTTGATCTGATGCTTCTGGCATTCCAATTTAAATGACTTTACAACTTTACAAGAAAATTGCGAATTACCTGTATCCGTTTTATTAGTCCAATTCTAACATTAAATCTTTGATAGTCTAGTCCAATTCTAACATTAAATCTTTGATAGTCTAGCAAAAAGCTACGTAGTTGACAGAGATGGGTAAGGCACTGAGTAAAAACAAGGGAGAGAAAGCAGCTGACGCAGCCCCAGCAGTAAGTACACATTCTTACTATAAATTACACTATACATACCATAAATTGTATTATAGTTGGTAATATCATGAGTGTTTTGAGCTGTAGTGGTGTGAATATTGGTTGTGGTTTGGAATTAGGTCTGTAGTATCATCCACAATTTTAATTATTTGCGATTCAGATCATGTCGATCAAAATGAAAATAAGATTGCTACTAACAAAATTGTAAAGAAATTTGATGATTTTATTTAACGAATTTTTGTAGGGTAACCGCAGTGCAAAAGCCTGACCCTTCCGGTCCCAGTCTATGACATTATCATAATGGAATTTTATCCGAATTTTCTGGAAATTTATCATTACCCTTTCCTGACATCAATGACATTCATTACCCGCATCAATCGAAATTTTCCATTCACAGATCCGACAATTACACGATATCGTTAGTTGTTAAACACCAATTTAGTGTAAGATTTCCGGGATGATGTCCGACCGTAATTGCGCGCAAACAAGGCGTTTAGGGTGAAATCACCCAGATAACAGCCGATGTCCTGAGTTTGGTTATACGTAACGTAATATCGCCATTACAATTTCATCGGGGATAAATATTCTAAATATGCCATAAGGTCACATAATTCATTATCTAAAGTTTCGCGACCAGTAGACATTTGTTCATGTTACTGGCTCGAACTTACTCCATCACATTGGATTAAATTATTTATTAACATCAAGAAATAACGAAAATTCTCCAAAGGTGGCACCTTATCCTTTAGCATTATTTGTCAGATTTGATTATAAATATGGGATGGGCAATATTATTTTCATCAAATGAAACGATTTCGTGGAAAATATCTTTAAGCTACTTTTAAAGTCTTTGCTTCCTAAGTCTTTTAGCAATTTCTTTAATCTTTACATGCACACGCCTATAATTTCTCAATTCGAACGTTTCTTTGACGCAGGATCTGAAAATGAATTCGTTGATCTAAAGAGTGCAATTTAATATTTTCTCTGCATGATGGTCTTGCATGCGTTATTAATTATTATACTCTATGTCATATTCGAGAACATACTCCATGTCATTTAACCGTTAATGAAAATTTTGTCAATTTGAACTTCAAATTTGAAGCACCTTTTACATGTCAATTAACTTCTAAATCTGAATAATATTATATATTATATATCTTTAATCTTTATGTAACATTAAAGCTCTGATTCTAAAAATCTTGCATGTTGAACATCTTTTTCATGTGATCCTAATCTCTTAATGTCTGTGTCTATTTTCTTTTTCTCTAGGAGGAAACTCCCGAAGCAGAAACCGCATCAGAGCCCGTTAAACAGGAATCAGAACCCGCCGATAATGCGGGTTCAGATGCACCCGCGGTAGAGCAGGTAGCGTTTCTCTAAATCTTTATAATCTTATCTTTATAATCTTATCTTTATAATCTTATCTTCTGTCATGACATGATTTCTTGATTCACCTTGATTTGTGTGTTGCAGCACTTACATTGATATAAACCGAGTGTGCTATTCTTAATGAACCTATCTGTGATCACTGATCACTTTATCAATGACAAAGTGGAGGCATTTGAATTATTAATAAAGAGGTTATGAATATTGGAAGCAAAAGAAGATCTTTGACATCTGAATATATTGAGCATTGAAGGTGGTAGAGGCTACTCAATACTCATATATAATTCATAGAAATGATGCGATAAGAAATGTAGTTTTACTTAACATCCAGGAGTCATTCGAGAGGAGAGGTGTGCATCGTGTAGATTTTACTTGCAATACTTTGCCGATTTTAGATTTTAAAGTGAGAGATAAAAAATTACCATTTTCAAATATGTTTTAACACCCAGAACATATCGAAGCAATGGCGGTTAACCATGCCGAAGGTAATTCTTTTCTTGCTCAAAAGGAATCAACTCTTTAACAAATTATCTCGCAGGAAGCAGCAGCCGAAGAAGCACCCGCTGCTGAAGCCGCACCCGCAGAAGAGGCTGCCCCTGCCGCCGCCGAGGAGGCTGCCCCAGCAGCTGCCGAACCTGCTGCTGAAGAAGCTGCTCCAGGTGACTTACTAATCTTTATTAATTTATTTCCATATTCTAACGATTGTGTAATATTGAATTACATCTTCCGACTTTATGCGTACCCATCATTTTTGAAATCTATAAATTATAAGACATTAATAATTATTTAATTTCTCAACAGAACCCACCGCCGAAGAATCAGCGCCTGCTGCTGAAGAATCAGCGCCTGCCGCTGAAGAAGCCGCCGCCCCTGCTGAGGAAGCCCCCGCCGCCGAAGAAGCCCCCGCAGCAGCAGAAGAACCCGCCGCCGAATCATAGATCCTCATTAAATTTGATTATGATGCTTTTAGGTTAACCCTCCACGGATCTTCAGTCGATATGCTCCTATGTGGTCCTGGATTTGCGCCCCTTATTCTCTCTGGGACGGTCTGACAAGTGGCACCATCAGTCTGCTGACTTATCTAACCTCTTATTTTTCATCTGATTTCGCCTGAACTTCGATTGAAAGTGTCTGAGTTCTTTAAAACTGTCTTAAAAGTAGAAGAAGATCTAACTTGATGCTTCCTGGATCCGGCCTTGCATGGTTAATTAGTTAATTAGCTAATTAGGATATTTTTATAACACGATAAGTACAAAAATTTGATCTGTTATTAAGACTGTGTATAAATATTGAGTAAATGCAATGTAAATTAATTTTCATATTAATGCCTATGCCTACCTTGATAGCCTGAAAACATGATATTTTATCTTAAAACTGTGATGATGCAAAACTGGTTTGATGGTTTTCTTACCCTTTCTTGATATTATCCCATTCGTGCTAAGGTAGCTTCAATTTGTCCGGCCTTCATTAGGTTCGGTGTAAACTTTTGGCTAAATAGGTTCAAATTATGTTAATTTACGTTTTAGAATCCGTGTTTCACTTTGTCAGCCGTGTCAAAAACCCCACCCTACTCAAATAACAAGTTCTAGAATATTTAACATCCAAATTCGATCCAGTGGGTGACAAGAATCCCTATGTTACTGTAAGGGCAAACAATGATTGTCCCCATGGTGACAGTGACTGTTCCCATCGCCACCCCACAAACCGTCCCCTGACGAATTAGAGCGGTGATTGAGCGGCGGCGGCACACGTTACATGTCAGGTCCTGGCTCTGTGTGTGTGTTGCTCTCTGGACGGTTATTGGTTGTCACAGCTCACTGGTAATACACACACGCAGCTGGAGAATGTTCTGGACCGTGGTGTGTTAGAGCTGCTACTCTGGGACGTGTTTTACTGTTCCAGCCTGGTTCACAGGACCAGTCAAATGAGACTAGAGATGTAACTTTGTTAAATTACTGTGATTTTACAGTATAAAAAGTAACACAGTGACTTAATATGCAATGTTACGCGAACTTGAATTTGTACGGTCATGAGTTGGCAGGCAAGATCTCACAGAAAAGTCATGAGTAAGATCGGCTTTAAAAGCTGGTGAAATTTACTGGCAGTCTTACGTTTGGACGATTTTTGTTTTAAGTTTGTGAGAAGGATAGAGTTTGTTGAAGTTGTGATGAAAATAGTTTTTGGGGTTTTGGCAGTTTGCTTAACTGTCGCAACAGGTGTGTATATTGAGATAAATATTCTATATATTCAACATCGTATAAATACAAATATAATAAGTGTAACTATAGAGTTGGTCGTTGAGTCATAGTAATTATATACAACTTTATACTGAGCATAAAATTGTATATATGAATGTGACAGCAGAAATTTATAGTAATACTGTAAGTGTAAATTATGAGATTCTGATGAAATTATAAACAAAAATCGATAATTTGATTTTTTGCTTTCGTAAAAAAAATGAACAATGTCTCATATTGTTCAACATCTTAATTTCAGTCGTTCAAGCTGAGTTGCATTTCTCAATTTATAAAGCTCGTAACGAAAAAGCGTCTGCCGGAGCCTTGATGGTGTCTATTAATGGAGGGTCAATGGGAAACGTTTGCCAATACACTGGTAATTACTACGAAATTTCTACCTCGACTGGAGAGAAAATCTGCCAGAATGCAGGATTTGATTCTATGGAAAAGGTGGATTTTATTCGTGACGGTAGATACAATTCCTATAGTTTTATAAGAGAATACTCTTCAAAGATGTACAACTTAGTATGGTCGGCTCAGAACACATTTACATACAGAGCATCGTCCTCCTGCTCCAGTTCGAATGGGTACTACTACACTTTTATCTCGTGCCAATGTGGAGCGGATTTCTACAACTCCACCTCAGGCTGCATGAAGTGTCCTGAAGGTTCCACATCTCCTATCCACTCCCCCATCTGCCATTGTCCAGCAGGAACTCACTGGACTCAGGGCTACTGTAAACCATGTCCAAATAACACGTACAGCCGTGCTAACTCCACTGAATGTACGGTGTGTCCGTTAGGATCGTACTCCAGGCCTGGCAGTGAGGTATGTTTGTGTGGGGATGGGTTGTACATGAGTGAGGAAGAGCTGTGTACTCCGTGTGGAAATGGTAATTACAGTTACAGTCAGAGTAATTATTGTACTGTTTGTCCTGAAGGTTCTTCAGCAGAGCTGTATCAAGGTTACTGTACTTGTCCTGCTGGACAGATATGGGAGTTCAACTTGTCAAGAGAGAAGGTGAAGCATCTTAACCGAGAGGGACCCATAAACCAGGAGTGGCCCGTGAATGGAGGACTTTTGCCAGGGGAGCAGGCAGGATTTTGCACAGATTGTGTACCTGGCTACTACAGCAAAGTAAACAGCACACAATGCACGAAGTGTCCTGATCACTCCACCTCGCCCTCCAACTCCTCACGGTGTAACTGTGAACCTGGGTACAGGTGGGTGGAGCAGAACCACGCTGTTAGTAACCACACTGTTAGTAACCAAACTGTTAGTAACCAAACTGTTAGTAACCAAACTGTTAGTAACCACACCACACACAACCACACAATCACCACTCTTCACGACTTCTGTGAGATCTGTCCGGAGAACCACTACAGCCAGTTTGGAGCCCTAAACTGCACTCAGTGTCCTCACTTCAAAGCAGCTACCCCCGGCTCGGAGTACTGCTACAGGTGTACTTTAGGGGAGTACTGGGAGAATCACACCTGTATCCAGTGTCCTGAGCACTTGTTCGGAGATGGGGTTCACTGTAATAAGTGTCCAGAAGGGTTCAAGGTTCTGCTGGGGTTTTGTTACTGGTCAGGGGATGATGGTGAAGTAGTTGTTGCAGAGCAAGCTGTTGGCATGAACAAAGTTGCGGAATCTTCCTCTGCCAGTTACTTTGGTGCGGTGTTAACTTCGGTTCTGCTTTTCTTCGGGTACTCAAAGCGAGATGTTTTGAAGCAGCTTCTCAAGGGTCTGACGTGTAAATTGAGTGTAAAAGGAACAGTGCAGGAGGGGATTCAAGTGGATGTGGGCTTTAATGATTTGAGGGGGAGACTAGGTGAGCAAGAGGTAGTAAATGAGGATGAAGGAGAGTTGACGGAGGATGAGGATTGCTGCTGTGTTACGTCGCCAGCTGCACAAATGGGGGAGAATCTTTACAGCGAACAGATTTACGAAGATATTAGTGATATTTAGCGGTCAAAGCACGGCCGACAAAGTACGTATATATACATTATACGCTGCGATTTTGATTTTGGTGTTTCCGTTAATTACGAATTTGTATGGTTTAGCGGGTTAGGTGTTGATTTGGAGGGACTTTATTGTTCAGGGGACCACTGATTATCATCTGAATCTTAAGAATGTTATTTAAGAATTTTGTAGTTCGAGTAAGCCCATATTTGTGTTTCCATTTTGGAGAATGGAATTGAAAACATGTTTTCTAATTGAGACTAAAACAAATGTCAGACTTAACCGCACGCGCATTATGCAATATACATAATTGTGAAAGAAGGACCTTATAACATATTTACATTGGTAACAATTATACTGCGCGTTCGCGCGCTTGAGGACCGATAAAGTGCCATGATATTGCATATCTTGGTAATTAACGATGCATAAATGATAAACCATCTCCTTTCACTATTATATGCTATACAATTAACGACAAGCAGCTACGAGATTGATTATTAAACCCTGATTTACCGTAACTCATCCCTGATCACTTTCTCCCCTATTCCTAAAATTGTGGGGAAATTTGTAAAGTTTTAGGTGGATTGTTGATATCACCTGAATATTTGAAATACGGCAAGCAATTATGAATGGTGAAGCAAGTTTTTAATATAAGCAGTAAATAATTTAAGCAATAAGGCTCATAACTCTTCTTATTTAGGTGCTTGTGGACCATTACCCCATATTAATATTATCGGGATTCGGGAACCAGTACTGCAGTCGGATCACATGGTTTCTGTCCGCACAGTAATAGTGGACTGATTACTGTCATGTGCGGACAGTCACAGAGACAGTTTCTCAGTGAGAGAGAAACCATGTAATCCGACTGGGGTTCAAAAGTAAAACCCCGATTTACTGATTACCAGCTGTAGATCATGTATATTTTACTTTCCCCAAACAATGTATGTAATTAATTTTTACCAATTGACAAAGTCAAAACGAAGTTTTGTTTTACACATCAACAATGAAAGCAATATATTTTCGAGCGTGCTAAATCACTCTACACTGAAAGATTTTCTAAAAGGGAAGTTGCAGTTGAAATCTCAAATCGTCCTGGTTAATCGATGTACTACTATTAGTATTACTATTATAAATTATTTAACATAGTGATTAGTGATAGATTCCAAATCACCCCACATGACATCTGGGTTAAAATGTTTCCCTGACGAGTTATAAGTAATTATCGGCGAATTAAATCTGGATTTTAAAGCAAATGCTTGAGTAAGGAATTGGGTTAGGGTGAGGGTATAAATACTAATAGGGTTGGGATCAAGGCAGAGGGTTTTGAATCATTCGTCAGAGCCATGAGAGGACATGTTTAATTTTAACTTAAATTTAGTCACGAGATAGTACAGTGTAAAGTGATTTATCTTCCGTATATTTAATCGATGGAAAATTCAACTATCCAATAAATTAGAAAGTTTATAAAACTCACAAATCAGATAATATCAACTTCCGAAAAGAGCCCATATATAATTTACGGCCGAAACAATCTCTGTCAACTCTGAAAAATAAAGAAAATCTAAAATCAAGTTGAAAATCCGGTAACTGTAGATGATCACATGGATTTAAAATATCGAAATCAGCATTTATTGAACTGCTGATAATGTGGATTACAATGCAATTCTTGACTGACAATAAATCAATAAATTTTACAACAAAGTTTCGAGAAATAATCCAGTTAAAAGAAATAGAGATGACCCTTCTTTTTTGTTTTTTAGACCCCCGCCGGCCCTTTTTATGGTCATGGAAAGGATTGATTTTGATCAATCTGACGGTGGTCGTCAATTTTTGGTAGTTTTCCAATGGCCGATCGTTTTGGCTTCTCGAATTCAATGTTAAGGAGATCTGAAAGTTTTGGAGCATTTTTGTCCAAATATGAATGATGGCTAAGATTTGGTGCAAGTTTCTTCGAGTAGTTCTGTCGAGCACTAGGAGGGTTTTTCTTTGTCTCGAAATGTGGAATCAAGTTCTGCGTAACGATTGGCAGAAATGATCGTTTCTCAGGTTCACCAAGAACCACCCATTGGTCTATGTTAGTATTACTTTTCGATAGATCGAACCTGAAAATTATTTAGTGACGATTAACTCAAAACAGCATATGATATCATGTTGTTGTCTATGATAAATCGGCGGTAGGCTTTATGAATCTATATTAATATCATCTCGGCATCTCGCCCGTTATTGAGCTCAATCTCATATTATTACTATTAGATCTGGAGGAATCATAGATAGAAAAAAAAAAGCTTCTGAAGATATCAAAAATATTTTCGCAACTGTTTAGTGTTTACAGTGTTTACAGTCCTCTTAAACATGATTTCGATACCACTTACATTTCTTCTTTAGCAACACTTGGATTCAGTTCAACTTTGGATCCTTCCTGTTTTTTCTCATTTGATCTCTTAGAGTACAGAGTTTTAGAGGTTAGTGGAACTTCCATAACTGTCAAAGAGCCAGACCCCTTCAAATCGTCGACAGACGTAACGTTATAGTCCTCTAGAGAAGCTCGAACCTACACCAAACAAATGGAATGATAGCGATGATTAAACCAGCTGATTTCTCGAATATTTATTATGATCGGACACCGGCTGATATTTAAAAGTTTAATGTAGTAAGCTAATGATTGATTAACTTATAAGCATTAGCAACAAGCAAATCCTGTTTGCTGCGTGTTGACGATAGTCATAAGATAATTTTTAGTCCCCAACTTCATCAACAGGTTTTAAAACGTTTTGTGCTCCGGAAGCTGCGATATTTGTTTAATTTTCTCTCATCAAAGGGAACAATGTTCTTCACTCGGTGTCCCATAACAATTTATACAATTTACAACGGTTGATTTTCTCGATAGGAATTTAGAAGTTCAGAACAATCTAGAATAAAGCGTACTCACCCGTTCGTCGTGACGTGCCATTTTGTTTTTGTATCGGATGTTCTCAGGTGCATAATGCTTTGTGGTTGCGAGAGGAGAGCCAGGTCCGAGTATATCACCGACTTCTAGGTTCGTTTGATGAACTTTTGTTTGTCGAGTCCTAAAAGTTGAAATTGGAGTCAAATTAGGGACCCTTCACATACTACGTAATCACTTTTCAGCCAATTTGTAACCCCCCCCCCTTCCCCCCTCTGTAATCAGTTTTACACATAGCTTTTGTGTCAAAATTACACTAGCGTAATCATTGGACCCCCCCCCCCCATCCCCCCTCGGCTGATTACGTAATATGTGAACGACCCCTTATCAGCATCTCTAATAGTAATAGCAAGCGATATATCGGAAATTTTTAACATTTATAGTGATCAATGAATTAAAGTCTTCTTGCTATAAACTAACATTAAAATCAAGATCTTAGTTTTTAAACTTTATGAAGGAGTCATCTCCTTTAAATTGCCAACCTGGGCTGTCCAAGTGAGTTGCTCGGAAGACCCTTTATCACCCCCTGATTACTGTTCAGATTTATCAGATCCAACAAATCCTTGACTTTCATTACCCCTCGCTTCACTTTGTTTATGTACTGCTTCTTTCCCATAGTGTCATGCGTCGGCTGTATCAACTTCAGGTACTCTAATTTTATCTGCAATGGCAACAGCACTGATGAAGTTACAACATATTATATGTGTTTAACAGAGTTATAAAATACCTTAAAATCAGGTCACTCTTGTTTTTATCAAAAATCTAACAATGAATACGAGCTAAGGCTGACCTCCTTGGGCATAACTTGATCAACTATCTCAGTGAAGGACCGATCATCTGCTATTATATCATTCTTTTTCTTGCCAGCAGACAGGGCACCTAACCGCAGATTTGCTATCACTTCTTCTATTTTTCCTATCGGCATCTCTCTCCTAAAAATGATTTGTTGAGGTGAAACTTCATTTCATATGCAGGAATTCTAAAAACCCACTACGTTCGCGTTCCTCGAAATATAAACAATGACATACGAACCTGCATTTTCTAATGTAATGGGTAAATCATAAGGTTACCTGCTACAAAACTTACTTGATGGGTTTTGTTTTCTTCCGGGAAATTTTCCTTGGAGATGTCCTGGCGATTGGCTCCGGCGTGGTAGTCAAAGGCATCATAAAGTTATTGAACGATCCGATTTGTTGGTTGGTTAACTCTGGGTAAGGTTGGGCACCTGGAAGCGTGGAGATACGGTTTTGTGGCATTGAAGTTTCTGGAAGGAGGGATTTCACTGGATCCAACTCAGGGTCGAACAACTGAAATGGAATATTGGAAGACAAGCGTAACACTGGAATAACGAGTGACAAAAACGTTATCTGAATGCCAGTTCAAGCAGCGACAGAAACACCGCCGCAGAAATTTAAATAACATTATCATAAACATTAAACAAGTATTCAGAAAACGATCAATTTGTAACTCGGAACCTTAATTTGGATCATTGAGCCTGTCAGTTAAAATGTTTTTGAGAGCATTACATATCTGAAGCTGATAAGACAGGAATCCAATTAACATTTACTAGAAACAGGCTAATATTGCTTTGCTAACGCTTACGAGCGAGCCGCATATAAGCATAAAATAAGAGTTTAAAATGTGAAAGTCAAGACAAATGTACACCTACCACTTAACAGTAACACATAGAGCAAAATAACATGAGACAATTCACTAAGAATTGTAAAGTATTATGATAATATGATAATTACTACCATTTACAACATATTCAAGAAATGAAGCATAATTTTCAAATCGAGCATGAAACTCTTCTGTAATTACAACAGTATATCAATCATGTATCCATGATTTTCTTGATTTGGCAAAACGTTAAATTACAGTACAGCGCCGAGACACAAATTAAAAGTAAAGTTTCTGATGAAAAAGCAAAAAAGCAAGTTTTAAACACCTGCTGAACCCATGACTTTAATATCTTTATCCAATCATCAGAATCAACAAATACATGCTCGAACCGTGGGAAATCATCTTTAAATGTGGTTACAGAGCAAAATAGGCCATTATGTCTCATGGTAATGTTATTAGAATTAAAATAATTATGCCTGGCCCTTACGTGATGTTATTAAAATTGTGATATTCATGATTCATGCATGCCCCGGCGCTGAGAGACTCCTCATATTATTATCATATCTAGCTCTTCGATCTATATTTGTGTGATCTTAGCTTGCAATATTGTAATATAAAACTGCATGAAATTGAAACATCTAAACAGCACACCAATACTCAATAGTCAAAACGATATTTTCGTTTAACCTTTTAATGAAAACTAAAAAGAGATAAAATTGAACTTGTGGATCATATTTTTTATTGGAACATTGAAGATAGGGTCACCGTGCACTACACAACCCTATATAACGACTAAGTAAACTGACCTTCATGGCGCTGACATTAAGTTGAGGATATTTTTCCCGAAGGTACTTTGACAAGTTCTCTTGGAAGTATAACTTGTTCTCGAAGGGTAGAGGAGAGTATTCCGGTCGAGCCTGGGTCGGGGTTACCAGGTACATCCCCAGGTCGACTCCGTATAACATGATGTCAAGAGAGGTCTCCAGTCCTATAACCTGTAAACGAATCGATGGTAAAATCTGCTACTTTTCAGAACTGAACTTTATTTGTATATGAAATCATAGACTTGCTGACTGGTGGCGACTGGGGAGGTAAGTCATATTTTCCTGTCAAGCAATAGAAAAATGCCTGAAAATATGGCTTACAATCCCGACCAGTGCAGTATCCAAGTATATTTCAATTTGTAGAGGGTTTAAATTGTCAAATACTCAGGGCCGGGTCGGCGTGACCTTTTTTGAACTTTTTGATCTCCGATTTCCCAGTCGGACAATCACACTATCCCACAACACCCGTGTTCTGGTGTTCTGCTTAGTGCCCGGGTAAGTATGGGAAGAGGCCTACCTTAGGATGAATTCTGAAAGTAGGACACATTTTGAAGGTACTCTGAACTTTTTCAATTTCACAGACATTTGTTTTGTCTGACTGTGTCTTAGGAAATTCAAGATTTATCAGCGACAACATTTGAATTTAGGACAGGAATGTTAAAACGACAAGAAAATAAAGCACGAACGATTCAACATAGATAAAACTTCATCCAATCAAGCTGCATTATGTCAAAGATCTTCACACGCACTGTGATGGCTGTATCTGCACTTTTGCAATTATTTTAACATTATCGGTCATATTATCAATCACAATTTAGAAATATATTATGAGCTCCAGCACAAATCCTGAGTGTGGTCATAAAGCTTGATTATGGACGTAATTCTTTAGTACATATAAATCTTTTGTTAGTACGGGAACATACACTATAATATCTGCTGAAGAGTAATTAGTAGTCGATAAGGTTTTAAAACCTTGTCGGATAAGGAGTCTGCTCAATAATTGCTTGACATTTCAAAATAAAAAGTCTGAATGTGTACCTTTTGCTCCATTTCAGAGTATTGGTTCATGGTCGAAGCTATGTCGGCATCAGCAGTTTCCTGAAATATTATATCAAGATTAGCAGTTAATGCAAAGATTCTGGAAATTCAACTTTTAGCTCAAAATCTTTTTGAATTTAACTGAAGTCGATTGTTACTATTTGAGCAAGTCATTGTGTCACTCACCATCAAACATCGATGAATATCATTCATAAACTTATTTCCATATGACAGGAACTCCTTTATTTCTTCCTTAATCTTTGTCAATGTATTTACTGGATCTTCTTCTATGACATTGGGTGTTGAAACCTGAACAGAACTTTTTTAAATGTAAATTTAAGAGAACAAGTTAGAATCACTTACAAACAGCGGTGGATAAGCTAAAAGCTTGGGTGCTTGGCGTTCGCACCGTTTTTTTCTCAACCAAACCTAAATCAGCTTGAACATTAAATTGATTAATTTAAATCCTGCACGATTTAGTTGTGTAGTAATCGTATATAAAACAAAATTTACCCGTTTAAAACTAGGTGGTTCTGGCTCTTCATTGACAGCTTCCTTAAACTTAACCCGTCGCTTTGGCTTCTTAACCTTTTTCTTTTTCTGCTTAGCTTTTCTTTCAGCTGCAAGATCAGCTGGTGTTTGAGCCTTCTCTTCTATTTCCATTTCAGAGTCGGATTCGGACGATTCCTCAGGCGGCGACTCAATTTTATTTTCCGAAGGTGGCTTGGGTTCATTGGCACCCTTATCTTTATTCTTCATTCTTTCTGCTCTTAATTTCTCACGATCCTTTTTCCTCACAAAAGATTTCAGACTTGCCACCATAGAATCTGCTCGATGCTGTTTTCGTTTATCGATTTCTTCCTGGGTAATCTTGGGACCTTCATCATCCTCGACTGCATCTTCCTCCTCAGAAAGCTCAGAGGAATCAGTATTTGGTGGCTGATCAAATTCGTCTTCCTGCTTTTCTTTTACCAATTTCGATACTTTCTTTTTTGTCTTACGTTTGACTGCCTTGGGGGGAATAATTTCCTCTTGTGATATAACCTCTTCTTCAACAACCTCTGTTTTTTGCTGATCTTCTTTTGGAGATTCATCATTTGAACTTTCTTCACTGTCTTCACCTTCGCTGGATGAAATTATCATTATGGTCTGAGTGTTTTTTGTAGACATCCTAGGCCTCACTGATTGTCTTCTGACAGTATTAAGTGAATTTTTTGTTTTATTCAATTGTGCTTTTAAACAATCGTTTTCCTTTTTAAAATTATCCAATTCCTTGCCATCTTGCATCGTTATCATGGAAACCATGGCCGATCCCCTTCTCTTATCATCGATTGTATTCCTCCGCTTACCTTCTGCAGTACTACCCTTATTATTGTATGAGTTGCTGTCCCCAAAAAGAGTTGAGGACAATCCACCAAGAGAATACGTATCATCAGTGTCGAGTTTGACTAAAGGGTGGTGTGAAGCAATTTCCGTGTTTTTCATATTCTCCTGGTCTTTTATCGCGCTTTTATATTTTGATTCCAAGGATGTTAATTCTTCTTTATATTCTTCATTTTCCAACTCAAGATTATCTAGCTTGGCGATTAAATCCTTGTTTTCACCGTCGAGGACATGGATTTTCTCCTGATAGTTATCTATCAGCTCCATCTCCAATGAGATCCCGCCCCGCCTTAATTGTCGGTTGATATCGTCACTGTTAGCACCATGTCCATTGTTCTGGAGATGCTTAACATCACCTAGTTCATCTAGAGCCTTGTCCAACTTTTGAACCTTTTTATGCATTGATTCCTTAAATTGCTTATCCAATTTTGAAAGCCTCTGCTTTAAAAAGCTGTTTTCGTTAGCGAGTTCGTCATTAACAGCCTCTAATTCTTTCACATTTCTGAATAGTACTCCAGTGCGTTTTGTGGTTCTCTCCAGTGCAATGATATGCGAGTTGATGTGTTCAACTGCTTCAGCCAGTTGCATATCCAACAACGCTTTTTCGATCTCAGAGGCCTCACTATCTTTTATCATGTTCACCACATTATCGATCCGATTTCTCCAAACAGCAAGTACCTCAGTACCGTTCTGGGTATTATCCACGATTATTTTCTTTTTCATTAACTCGCTTTCTAAATTTTTCTTTTGTGCGATAAGTTTTTGGGTGGACATGCCATTGTTTTGAAAGTCCACTATCTTATGATTGATAAATTTAATCTTAGATATGATATCTTTTGCCTGTTCGATGTGACCAGAGAGACTATCTCCTCCTTCTAAATCTAATGATGACTCCAACTCCTCCAGCTCATCCATGAATTCGTCTGTGCAGTTATCGAACCACTTTTCTAGAGTAGAAAGTATGTTTTCACGTTCTATTGCCAGTCTCTGTGAATAAAGGACAAATGATAATAATATTGTGAATAGTTTTGGGGTTAACTATGCTATAATTTTTACACAATAGCTAGACTATGATCAGATATGTGTTAACTTACAAACGCTGACGTAGGGGGCTGGGGGAAGGTTGTCTAAAACATGTGAAATCTTGATAAAGTAATTATACGTGATTTTACTTGGTGGACGAATTTAATTGGGAAACATATACTTTTAGAAGATCCTGACCTTATAATCTTCAAGCACGCTCTTGATCTGAACTTTCAGTATAGGACTATCAATTTCATCCAAATGATCTTCGACTTCGTTAATGTGTTCTAAATATAGTTTGGCGGCGATATCCTCGTAACTGTGAAGAGTCTGAGCCATGCGCCCAGTGATGAGCCGTAAATCAAGATTAAGTTCACCCTCTTGATCTCCACTGCGATTTATCATGGAATGTCCCATTACCGTCAACTGAAAGCATTGTATACATTTTCAAGGAGACAGTAATGATGGTAAGACGGTTTCGAGTTGACTATTTAGTACTCGATACATTTGATACAAAGTGTTATCTTTTCCTAATTAGAATTTTGTAGACGTAGTACGTACCCTTTATAATGAAAAATAAAGTCCGGTTAACTTTACTACACACGAGACACCGTATAAGCTACAAAATAAAAACAGTCTGACAAGAAAAGAAAGGTTTTCTTTGACATTTGAGTGCACATTACCGGATTTTGAAGGTTGGGGGACCTCATGGGTTGACTGAATTTCATCGGTGGAGACTTCATGCCTGGACGTCTGATGGTGCCCTTATCCGGAGAAGTTGGAGAACATCTCGGAGACATGTTGGACGAGTGCTTCGTTGGAGATGGAGTCTTCATTTTTCAATTGATTCTGAGGATTCTTTTCGAATGTCAAAATTTGTTCAACAAGCAAAACTCACAATTACCCTAAAAATTACATAAACGGACTAAGTTGATTCAGTGCTGGATTGTTCAGGTTTTCTATTAAATACTTTTCAAATTTTACAGAGTACAGCAATAAATGAATATAAAATAGAATCGTTCAAAATATTGCCCCCATCTGTAAAATAAGATTGGTACCCAAACACGGTAAACACATAGTGAACTATGTTTGCAGTCTGCAATTACTTGGACCCAATACATAAAATTAATTCAAATCCAAAACTTATTGAAAAACTGACTTAACTTGATGACACAATAGACAGCCTGTCGAGGTGGCAACGTCTTAGTCGAGAAGTGCCATGATATAAAGAGAGATAGTGAGGCAGCGATACAGGAATTAAACTGTTTAAAACTTTGTGGAAAAAAATAAGATCATTTAAGTCAAACTTTTGAGGTAAAGGGAGAATGTCGACAAGCTTGCACTTTTTGACATATTGCTCAGGTGGGTAGCTGCGGCCTTCTTCAGATAAAATCCATTTAATACCTCTCTTTTGGAGACTTTCTAATTTATCACTAAGTGATTTATTACAAGGGCGCCAGATTATGGAGCAATTTTCGAATTTGCTACGAACAAGGGAAAGGTAAAGGGCCCGGAGACGTAATTATGACCAATGACAATAATTATGATCAATAAAAATACAATGTATAATAAAAATAGACAATGTCTACCTTATAATAGAGTTGCCATATGTTTGTAATATATAACATATACTCTTAAGAGTTAAGATGCCTTGATAACATTGAACTGGATCAGGAAAAATCATTTTTCATCTTTATTTTGTATGTTCATTGCGAGTCCTGTTTACTCACAATTTTATTTTGATGGGTAGGGATCGGTAAAGGGGTAAAGTCTCGAACTCAGTTAGGTCATTTTCATAGTATCATTTCTACACGTGTTGATCTCCTGGATAGAGTAACAATTAAAAATCAGCATGCAAACATATTCAATTGCAGGGATATTATCTATAGAATGCACAAATAATAGTACTAGTAGGTTGTTGTAAGCGGAAGTTTGATCGTTCACGCAATAACGATAGTCGATCATCACACCAATGACAAGATTGGAGACAAAAGCGAACAATTTGACGTTACGTCTTCGACTTTGTGCGTGAACGATCAAACTTCAATTCCGCTCACAACATCCTACTATGTCTGAATATCATTTATGTATTCATCACATTTGTGATGAATCATAACACATAATGGCAAATTTCAGCACTACAAGAACATATCATTAAATGTGCATGGCACTGTATGCTCTACAGAACGACGAACGTGCGAAGGCTGATAGACCATGGTCGGGAAAGATTAAAAGATTGAAGTTGACCTAACTGTGCAAAATGTGTTATGTATATATTGTTTTTTGACTGATGAAACAGAAGCACAAAGCAGAAAGTAATCGGTCATATTAGGTCGTTATTGCGACTCACAAGCCTAACTGAGGATAACGTTTGAAACATGACAGGTAACCGCGTGCATGCGCGCGACGTTGGAAATGATCCAACGCGAAAATAAATTAAGCTTACCACTAATTGTCGTGAAACGGAACCGGCAAGTAAAGTTTTTAAATTGCGCGGCGCGCAAAAAAGTTACAAGGGCCACGGCCACAGTATAGTACGACTACGGTTACCTGAGGACCCCAGGCTATTATGTTCATTAACATAATAGCCTGAATAAAGATTTGGCGGAATGACAGGCTGAGCGCGGCCCAGTAACGACTACGGGTAACTTTATTTTATTTTTAATACTTCTTACTTGAAGTTACCAACCCTTTCAAACTCGTAATTTCATGCTACGATCTTATAAACTGTTATTATAACTATAAGGTAGTTTATATAGTTTAATACTAATAGTTTAACTTTAAGGCATTATTTTGAGCACGATTAGATTTCGACCGTTCTGTGTAGCATGTAGATGCTTATACGTTTTTATTATGCATGAGTAAGCTGTAGGATTGTAAAAGTAAGCTATACGGATACCAATGTATTTTTACGCTGATTTCGAATTCGAATAAGACAGCTATTACGTTTCTACACGTTGTATTAACCTCTCGTGCACGTGCAAAGCGTGCACGCCCGATCAAAAGGGGTTACAGCGTGTGTCAACTATTACGTATCATGAAAATCATTTCTTGACGAGTTATAATTAACAAAGGGGGTTGCAAGGGGTGACAAAGTATAGCAATCTTGATTACTTTTTATCCGTATTTTATAAAACTTACTCAGCTCAATTATTTGTACTTGACTTGCTTACCGTATTTTTCTTCTACAACTTGCCATAATAGATGTTTTCTGGTATAATAACCAATTGGATGATTTATCGCACCCTTTGCATTAAATTTAATACACGCAAGAAATTTATACGGCTTCGCATGTACCCCTCCGCTGGACGTCGGCCGGCATGGGCAATTAAATTCTGACAAGCACGAAGCCGTGCATACAGCATATCATACATAAGTTGTCCATGTCGATCAGTACTATACAGTATACCGGGAAACCATATACTACAAGGGATTGAAATCTCTCAACAGCAAACCATAGAACAAAAAGCTTCGCACCACAAACTTCAGATTGGATGTCTTGGGAAACGCACACTGCCGTCCACTTGCACTGCCCAGCCAAGTGCCCTATTACATTACTATAATATATAGATTACTGCTCAAATGTCGTTTCTTACGATGTGCTATGTTTTACAATAGATTATATCATCTTGTATCTCATACGATAAGAACACTGCTTCTTTGCCAATAATGTTTAATAGGAAACGGCAAAGCTTTTGTAAAGTTGTTGACCACTTCACAGTTTCGTACCCGGTTTCTTAAACTGAATCGTGTTACATTTTTATTATGAACAATGAAGAAGAAGGTTTTAAAAAGTTCAATAAATTAAAAATAAACTATACACAAATAACAAAACATGAAAAACTATCAAAATTGACTTGTTCTCTTGTGCAACAATGCCGAACAGCTTCCAAGCGTCCGGTTTTCCGATTGACGGAACGACTGCCAAGCCAATTGTCTGTCGAGTCTTTGTCAGGACGACACTGGATACTTATTAGTAGGCGGATTTAAACAGTCCAGACCTTTTGATATCATTATAATCAATAATCCCTTCGATATGGTTCAACCCATTATCGCAAGGTAGTTATGTACACAGATTCTATCAATCGTCTTTGAATATCCTCATTATATCTGTCTTTGTATAACCCATCTTTTCCTTGTGCGTTTTGAACTGGCTGACGAATTCTCTAAACTTTGATGCCTTAGAGTTCTGTGCTAACGTGGACTTTTTGTAAGTTTGATAGATATCGTCTATATCGGCTTCGAGTTCACTGAAAATACAAGCTATTAAAGCAGATAAACAAATTTACTTCTTGGGTTTCAAAACGGGATAATACATAAGAATCCCTGTGAACACTGAACAAACTTCAAGAACTCACTAGGACGGTTATTATCTTATAGCATCTTTAATTGACATAAATTTACAGCACTGTTCTTATGTTAGAACGGCTACATTCAAACAATTAACTTAACATCACCAACCTGTCACTGGGGTTTTGAGCGAAGTGTGCTGCTAAAACTGCCCTCTCTTCTTCTCTTATCACTGCAAAAACCAAATGTTAATTTGAATCCAGAAAGTTGTTTGAAAGCGGACTATGAATCAGCTCCATACCGTTACCAGAAAATGTTCTTCCAAGTGTGATTGTGTACCTAAAGTGACAACTAACATGATCCAATTACGTCAATTAGGCTTCGAGGAAATTTTTAACAGGGGTTGTAATAATGGTTTACGTATCCTGGAGGTGAGGTGTGGGAAACGGTTTACATTAAATGTTTGTGCACCATCTTCCGTGTACCGAAGCGATAAAATACTTGGAGACATCCTATTGGTCGATACCGATGAAATTTCCAGAAAAAAAGCGCGCCGCGCGCAAACTCCACTGTGCTTTGAATGTTACTGTGGGATTGCGCCTTCCTAAAAACTAGTAACGAATTGTGACCGGGCTTAATGGTCCTGCTACGTCATATTTGCTTTTGTGGAGGAACTGTTCGCTGCTAAGGTCAAATCGATTCAAATGTATCTCAAAGAATTTACTCACCATTCCAGCGATAAGTGCAGTAGTATGTAGCAATAGCAAGCAATGGAATCCACCCGACAGTAAGATTTGCTATCTGAAAGGAATTTTATTCTTCAATTCAGCTAAAACTAGGAGGTCGCGATACGAAAAGAGACTGGACAGGAGTAAAAATTTCATTCAGCAATAAAACATAAATAAACTTTCATCGTCAGTGATACGTACCCAGTTAACCTTAGGTTTCTTTCCCCACCTATCCACGTATTTCCATTCGCCCTTAGGACATGTTGTATCGTTTATAGTAGGCCAGCCAGTAGACTGCTGATAGTTTCTTTGATAAGGGAACACCATATCAAATCCTTTAGAACATGTTTTGTCAATGAAATGCTTATGAATATCACGTGGGTTTTTTTTAATTGTTGTTCCAACATCATTCAATGAGTCTACATTGATGATAAGTAAGTTATTATGGAGTGCTGAGCTGTAACAAATTTTGTCTTTTTGCCAGAATTTGGGATAGAGTACTTCTCAATGATCATATTTACGCCCTTTTAAATAAAAATATAAACACTCTTTTTTTCATATAATATTTATCATACGTAAGAACATACTTCAACATTAACAAGGAAGAATCAAACACCAAGGCGACTCAAAATTCGCATGTTACAATTCAAATACAACTTCAACTTTCGAGTGTGTCAAAAACTGAAAGAGAAGAAATCTTCTAGCCAATTTAACATGTCTTTTTTATTTTCTTAAAGCAATACATTGTGAAAGCGTGTTTTAGCAAAATATCAATACGAATAGAGCGACTATCCTAAAATAATTTTCATAATTTACTACCTACGTAGAAAATCAAATAAATATATGTTTAGTTTGGCCAGCAAAACTGAAAGACAGAACCCCTTAAAGTTGAAATTATGCTCATTTGAAAATTGATGTCGTCAAAAAAATCTTCGTACTTAAAATATTATCAAATATTAACCATAAGCACCACTTAACAACAACAAACATCGTAAATAAAACAGTTGTATACCATAATACTTGTCTGCAAGTATAAATAATTTGATATAGGGTAAATGGGATAAATGTTACTCAAATTGAATAGGTCGGAAAAGGGATGTCAACTTTAAAAGGATCTTACAGATTTCTTTAAATCAGAGCTGATTCTGACTCTAAACATGACGGTACTAATTTCAGTCAGCTTTCCTTGTTCTTCGTTTGACAGGAGCTTCCTCTTTCTCCTCAGCTGCCTCCTCTTCGGCAGCCTCCTCTTCTTCTGCTTCTTCTTCTTCGGCAGCTTCCTCTTCCGCCTCTTTCTCTGTCTCCTCTAACTCAGGCATATCTTCTTCTTCTTCTTTCTGTTCTCCACTTGCTTCCTTCTCTTCTTCCTCGCCCTCATCTTCTTTCTCTTCGTCATCAGGAGTCACTTTGTCAGTTTTCTTAGCTTCAGCTCCATCGTCAGCAGGTGCAGGAGATCCCCCGCTGCAGTAAAAGTAGAGTACTACAGGCAGGATCACTGCTGCAGCTAGAAGGATCCAGATCCAAGGGTTCTCTCCGGCAAAGACAAGGAACTGATCCATTGGGCTGTCTCCAGGAGCAGCCAGTTTTTCAATCAGAGCTTTCTTGTTCCAGCTTTCTCCAGCCCACTCGTCAGCTACTGACTTGCTGTCGGTCAAAATTATGTTGTCAAACATGATGTCTTTAGTCATGGTCCACATCTCAATACCTACAGCTGTGATTGGCATCAGAGAGGCAAATGGGGTCTTGTCTTCATAATAATCAGGGTTGGCAATCTTCTTGGGAGACCAGACACCACTGTAGTTAGGGTTGTCAATGAGAGGAGGAGCCCATGAGCCCTTGTATTCAGGGTTAGGTTTCTGAGGACGAGTCCAGGGACCACAGTTACCAGCCTCACATTTAGGGTTCTCAACAATGGGAGCTTCCCATTCACCGTCCTCCTCGTCATCCCAATCCTCTGGTTTTACTGCGTCTGGGTCGGGTACCTGCTCAACCTCATCTTCCAGCCAGTTATCCGGCATTGTGGCCTCCTCGTCTTCAATAAACTTGGGAGCATCCTCATCCCAGTCCTCAGGTTTTGTTGCCATTGGGTCGGGGATCTTTTCCTTATCATCCCAGTCAGAAGGTTTGGAGTCAGATGGGTCGTCAATCTCAGATGGAGGGTTGATGGCAGGGGTCATGTCAGTCAGCATAGATCCTTTGTTTACGGAGTTTTGGTCTACAAATATCTCGAAAGAGCCATCAAAGTCGACAACGAGAGTTAAAAGATGGGATTTGTTATCACCGAATATTTCCTTGAAGTCTGAAGATGCCTTGGCGTGTTTCTCTTCAACTGCTCCAGTGACGGGGTTCTTGTAGTTGACGATGAAATGAATCCTGCTTTCAAGTCCACACTTGTCAGGCCCAAACATGATGGAGTAAAGGGTTTTATCATTGAAAGTATCTGATGAGAACTCCTCGTCTACTTCGGCAGCCAACTTGAGGTAAGATCCACCACATTCCATTGTGTCTTGATATTTAACCTCGTACTGCACGACAAACTGTTTCTGTGAATCGTGAAGTTCCGTGAAGTCTACTTTCTTGTTCATCTTAGCTGAGATAGCATGATGTTTGGCTTTGTCTTTAGCTACTAGTCCCAAATCTTTAGGGTTAGCTGAGTTACCCTCAATGGCCCATCGACCATCGAACTTACTTCCGTCACCTGAAACACGATTGTGTTTAGAATAATATAATGGTCCAGGTACATACAAGTCATTAATTTTTACAGGATATTCCAAAGGTTTTTTCAGTATCGTATTAGTGACCTATGGTACATGGTTGCAAGGCCTGGGTTATATATTTGAGGGTGACATGTGACTACCAGGTGACAGGTTAGCTGAATGTGACGGATAATTAACAAGAATCACAAGGTGACGCGGACGTGGTGTTTTGGTTGGAAACCCTGTAGTAATTACTAATTGAAACGATAATGTGCATGATTTGAGGATCTAAGTTGGCCCAAATTCTTAGAACTAATAACATTTTTAATCAAACTGACTAAGTCGGTATCAGCTCAATCGAGCAAGACAATTTCCAACACTCACCTTTAGAGGATGATGATAAACCCCATATTGAGCCAATGCCCTCGAAATTAGCAAAAGGATCTGCAAAGAATGCATTTCCTTTCAGAGACGGAAGTTTGAAAGGTTCCTCCTCTGCCTCCTGCGATAAGACCGCAACAAACAGGAGTACTGCTACCACTTTCGTAAACATCGCTGTGGCTATAAGAATGAGTTGGTTAGAGGTTAGTTATTTACCATACAATTTATACTTTGCTCCGAGATAATAGAAGTTTTAGTGTGAAATAGATCAATTCTCACTAATTCCACTGCCTCCTGATACATAGTTAAACTTATTCATAAAATTACTAGGACAGTTATTCACTATTGTTTATTATTCTATACATTTAATGAGTGTAGACCACCTAGAAAAAGGTTGTATTGAGTTGCAATTAAAAACGAACTAGCTTTAATATTCATTCTATATTATGTCAAAAATATGTCCTCATCTATAACGACATTGGACTCGAGCACGACATAGAAGAACCAAGAAACAATTCTGACCTTACAATATCTGAACCCCACTGCCAACACTTCCTTGACATGGTTATCAATAACCAACTCAAAATTCTTAATGGTCGTACCCTTGGGGACACCACTGGAAAAATGACCTGTCACAAATACAATGGAAGCAGTGTGGTTGACTATTTTGTAATCACCTCATGGGCAAGAGATCATGTAAACTCTCTCCAAGTAAAAGAGTTTACATCATACTCTGATCATTGTCCATTAGTCTTGAAACTCACTACATTTGAACCATTTGTCGCAAATTTCCAGCTCCCAGACTTTTCTAACTTTCCTTGTGGCTATAAGTGGGACAGCAACACCTCCCATTCACTATTTAAAAAAGCCCTTACCTCGCCCGAAATTATCAACAATCTGGAAAGCATTGTGACAAATGAATTTAGCAGTACTCTGGAGGGCAATCACGAACTGAACGATGCAGTCATAAAATGTCTCCACAGTGCTGCTGATATAGCCTTAAAAGTGAAAAAGCCTCCCAAAAATTCTGCCCGTAAAAAATGGTTCGACCCACAAGTCAACTCCTCGCGGCGGAACCTTAATAGGCTAGCAAATCGGCTTGGTAGTAAGCACTGTAACAGTATCCTCAGACTAGAATATTTTAAGCAACGCAACAAGCATAGCAATTTTGTAAACAGTAAGAAAGTAGCTTTCCTTAAGAAATTAAATGAAGCTATAGAAGAAGGTCACATACTCGACTGGAAAAAATTTAAACGGCTTAAACAAGAACATGACACTAGCCCCTTACTTGACAAATTTGATTTAGCTAGCTTCCATGACTTCTTTGCATCCCTTTATAAAAAACCAGACCAGGAGCCAGATCTCACTCACCACAATCACAAACATTACCCTGAACCACCAGATCTGGATATCCTAAATAAGCTCATGTCAGAATCTGAAGTGACCTCTGCCATCAAAAATCTCAAAAAAGGTAAAAGTTGCTCAAACGACTTGATATCCAACGAGATGCTTCAGAGCGTAACTCCGCTTTGTCTCAAAGCCATCCTCAAAAACTTCAACCACTCACTGGTCTCCGGTTACTATCCATGGCACACCAGCATCATTACTCCTATTTACAAGTCTGGCAACCCTTTCAGCCCGGACAACTACAGAGCAATAGCTGTTGGTAGCTGTATGGGTAAACTGTTCTCTAGCATCTTACTTGAGCGTCTCCTGCACTTCAAAAAGCTCTACTGCCCTGACCCAAAAGAACAACTAGGGTTCTCGAAGGGTGCTCAAACAAATGACCACGTTTTTACCCTTAAGACAGTCATTGACAAATATACCAAGGTTAAAAAAGCTCGTCTCTATGCATGCTTTGTTGATCTAAGAAAGGCCTTTGACACTGTATGTAGGGACCTCCTTCTGCACAAAATCACATGCCTTGGAATAACTGGAAACTTCTTCAATTGCCTAAGTGATATGTATAGAAACTCAATAGCTCATATAAAAATCTCCAAACTCTTGTCCCCTAATATTGACATTGGAAAAGGAACAGAGCAGGGACACCCTCTATCACCGGACCTTTTTAAAATCTATATCAACGACTTGTCATCTCTCCTGAAATCTGTTGGTGATTATCCTATTCTAGCTGACGTCCTAATATCACATCTGCTCTGGGCTGACGATCTTGTCCTACTTGCCCTAAGTCCCAAGGCCTTGCAAGACAATATAAACATCCTATTCGACTTCTGTAACTCTATGGGCCTTGAAGTAAACATTAAAAAAACCAAGATTCTCATATTCTGCCCTCATAAAAGAAAACACTCCTATGAAACATTCATTTTGGGAGGCCAGCCCATCCAACACACCGACAAATACTGCTATCTTGGCATTATATTCCACAGAAATGGATCTTTTACAGCAGCAAATACTGAACTGAGGGCCAAGGCTCTCCGTGCTCTCTATGGCCTCAAAGGCAATATCGTCAAAGATGCCCTCTCTCACCGTTCTCTAAACATTCTATTTGACTCTCTAATAAAACCGATACTGCTCTATGGCTGCCAAATCTTATGTCCTCACTCAAAAACCATGAGATACCTCTCCAAAACAGATAGCAAAGCCAACCCCCAGCATACTCTCAGGTACATCTCACAAGACCACTATGAAAGATTCCACCTTAAGTTTATCAAGTGGTCCTTGTCTGTCCATTCAAAAGCATCAAATATAGGCTGCTGGGGCGAAAGTGGGCGCCACCCCCTCTTCTTTGAAGCCTGCAAACTTGCAATAGATTTCTATACTCGCCTTGAAAGCACTGAAAATGAACTTCTCTCCGCTGCATTTCACGAGCAGATTATGCTGGGCCTTCCTTGGTACACCAACATCGGCCCCAACGTTAATGTGGCTTTTGCTATGTGTTGGTTCAGCCGAATTAATTATTATGTTTAATCAAGTTTATATTTCTCGTTAGTTGTCATCCGGCCAAACAATAAGCAACTTATATAATATATTGCAGCACCATTTTTCAATTAGAATATTAAAATATGTCATCGTAATTTTGCATGGCTGAAATGTAACGCTTGATTTGTATATATAATAATTAATTGAATTTTCAAATAAAAAAAAATCTCTAATCTTCTCACCAAATATAACTTCCCCCACTCATCCTCTTCAAAATCCAAGCTCTCTACCCAAATCAGTCACAACATGAGGGAAGAATTTGTGGATACCTGGAAATCTGCCAAGGCATCCTCACCTAAATTAGAATTCTACAATCAAATTAAACATGATTTTGAACCAGAAACATACTTAGGAGTGGTTAAGATCCCCGATGCTCGGAAAAGCTTAACAAGGTTTTGTATTAGCTGCCACAATCTTTACATTGAGAGGGGCCGTTACGAAACCCCCCTAGTACCAAGAGAACATCGATGGTGCACTTTTTGCTTTTTCAGCAAGGGGCTTAAGCCTATTGAGGACGAAATTCATGTTCTAACTGACTGTTTACTCTACTCCTCAGTTAGAGAAAAATTTAACTTCCATCCCAAAAATATTACTGACCTAGCCGGTTTGCTATCCGATAAAACACTAGACCCTACAAAATTTACTGCCACAGCAAGAGCAATCCATTCAATTCTCTCTGTGAACGAAAATTTTACAGCCTACTATAAGAGCCCAGATTTCCACTCAAATACTGGCCAATGCATAATGCTATAGGACCTCAAAAATAGTATTATATTAAACATTTCTATTTTATCCCTACACTTCTGTAAATAACTAGAATTGTGTAACCTTAAATTATTTCAGAATTATAACTATTGTGAATTCAATAAAATAATTATCACTTTTGTATCCTTGTATCCTTGTATCCTTGTATCCTTGTATCAACGGGGCAGTATTTAAGCCTTGAATGCTAAGCTAAATCATGCTGTCAATTGTTCAATGCAGAAAACTATTTCCAACGTAACTTAATGGTAGCAAGAGTAACTAATTTTGCACTAGTTGTGAGTGATGGCTTTCTTGTAGATTTGACAAAAAATTACTAAGTTGTCAATAAATCTAAGTCAGCCAGAGTATTAGAAAGAAGCTAAAGATTAAAAAATGGCTTGCATCGTTCGTTATACATATCTGTTTCGAGAATGTACAAATTGGCTGCATGTAAAAGATAAAATAAAATTTTTTTTAACTGAATTGGTTTTGGACCTCTTCATGCTTTTGATTTATTTATTATTGTTATTTGGTATTATGAGCTAATATGTACATATACATACGGTATCTAAAAGTTAAGTGTATAGCGAGCATATTTAACAAATTTTAAGCAATATAATGTATTGCGAGCAGTGCAGCTGTAACTTAAATATCGCATAAAAGTCATATAACTCAAAACTAAAATTTTACTGGAATATAGGGAGAACTAAGATAAAATTAATGTCAGACCCGTCGCCACTCTCAGCAGTCAACCAGGGCTCATAAAAGCTTAACAGCGCCTGGGTCCGTTCACCAACTGTGCTAATGTGAGTGGCGGTGTGGTAAGACCCATTTTAACAGCGTGTATATTGATGAAATACAAGCGCTCTAGCTGCTAGCATACTTGTATCATTTAATTTTAAATCAAATTCATTCGGATATATATTTATTGATTATGTATTGAATCGGTGATAAATAATAAAATTGTCTAAAAAATTGTCTTTGAATCAATGAGAGGTGGTGAGAATGACCGGGATTGAATCTAAAATTAAAGTTGTCCAGTAGTTTTGAATACAACTTTTAAAAACATTTAATAAGCTATCGGGGTTGCACAATGAGCAGGATAGATCTTCTAGATGAACTGTGAAATCTTATTGTTTAGTGTACTGTGACACTTCAATTTTACATGGAAGAGATGAGGAAGAAAGGGTACATCCTAATTTCGTATTTGTTGTTTACTAAAAGTCTGATGTTTCTTTCCCTAAAGTTCTAAAGACATCCAAAGATGCATTATAACATTGGATTACAATGTTTGATGGAAATTGTGTCCCAATGTTAGACACCTTACTTCATACATCCTAGCTGTTCAAAATAGTCCAATTATAGTCCAATTAAATGGTCACTCTTTTATCCCATCACTCTTGTGCAAATTCTAACATTTATCTGTTGAAGGTAGTCGTCCGGGTAGAAAGTTGACTGGCACTCAAACATCTAGAAAAGGGGGCCACATAGGTAACATGAACAAC